TACTCTCTCTCTCTCTCTCTCTCTCTCTCTCTCTCTATATATATATATATATATAGATACATACACACACACTCATCAATAATGTCTTTGGTTTCATTTATAGATATGAAAGATCCAAAATTTAAGATACTCGAGGGATCGGATCCAAACCGCTCGCTTCACGGCTGCATATTCATATAATACGATATGATGGGATTATATATATAGGAAAATATTATTCTTAGAATATTATCATTAATATTGATGATAATATTCTAAGAATAATATCTTCCTATATATAGCTCACAAAACGTAATAAAAAGTGTGAGTATTATTACATAATTAACAGAATATACTTTTATTATACACTATCATCATGAAGTGTGTAAACTATCATCCTGAAGAGAATACTATAATTATTACACTATATATATATATATATATATATCTTACAAATTACTCTTTGAGTTAATCAAAGAGGATGATGATGATGAATTTAGCATTTTATTAGGTTACGAATGTTGTGTTTTAGAAAAAATTTCGATTATATTTTGTTTAGTTTAAGTATATGGTAATGGAAATGGACTGCCTTTTTCCTGCCATGCATATATATCCTTTCAAATTATAAGTTTGCCTTCTATATGTGTTATTAGTCCCCGGATTCCGTACCACTTCACACATAAGTTCTAGATGTTATTGGTTCTATATGTACCTATACACATTTAACAAAAACAAAACCATTATATATATATATATATATTATTTTTTTCTACAGTTTATTTATCCATGTTAGAAAAAAAAAACAATCAAAGGAAAAAAAAAAGGAGCTCCAATCATTCTGAGAAGACACGATGTGCTTCACGGATCCCAAAAATCTTTCTCTGTCTGCCTATACCCAGCAAACAAAACCACGCATACACACACACTTTGCTTATATATATATATATGTCGCACGTGCCAAAAATAAGTGGTCCCTTGCCTCACACGTGTCGCTTGGACCGCCTCGTGGTGTTTAACATGAAGCTGGTGTGGGTCCTCCGCATATATGCATCTAATTTCATAGAATTGGAAAACACAATAGGATAATTAATTACAGAGGAACCGGCGATTAAGTAAATTAATTGGCGATTAGTGGAGTGTTATATTACGTACGGATTATATATTATCTTAGACGTGTGTGTGTTTGTATGCATGCCGAAAACGCCTTTCATTCTCCAATCTCTTTCTATACATACATGTACGTTGGGTTGGTCATGCAATCCCTAGGGGGTGTGTGTATATATAATTGTAATCTTTTGGTTCTTTTTTAAATTTGCAAAGGAAACTAACATAGATTTCAAGATAAATAATATCGAATTTTACGAGCATGATTAGTATGACGATGTAATTTAAATTGGATAATAATAATAATAATAATAATAATAAAAAAAAAGAATGGGTGAGAGGAGTAGGTACATGGAGGCAGCTTTTAGATGTTACTATATTTGATAGGAGCCATCATTTCTACTCTATTCCTTAGCCCAACTCCCTATTATTATTTTTTTTTACTTCTCTTCATAATTTTGTAATGTTTGCATTGTTCTTACAAATTTAAACATTTTTTAAAAACCATTATAAAAAAATACAAACTTTTTTTACTGTTTTTACGTTCAGTTGAAGCAGAGTTCAAGCCATAAATATGCTGATAATAATATATATATATATATATGTATGTGTGTGTGTATGTATAGGTTTTTATTTTTCTGGAAAACAGAGGCAAAATGTCTGGTAAATAAGATATATAAATTCGGAGTACGGTTGTTACACTATAGATATAGTATGTATGTATAATAGTCGTTCTTTTTAATCATTCTTCTTAATTCCATACCTTTATTTTAATAAAATAAACAAGGAAAAAAATAAGTTGAGTAAAACAGTAAAAAGCCAACGCACGAATTACATACACTATACGCCCACCACAATTCCCATACTGTTCGGTTCTTTGATCATTAGTTTCAGTTATGGGATGGGATTATTATATGTTGGATTTTTTAAAAATTTCGTAATTAAATTTGATGTATTTATCATTAGAAAATATATTACATGGGAAATTAGTATCAATGAATTTAGAGTATATAGGGGAATCTAAAGATGAAAAGGTGTGTTATTTTATTTCAAATAATTAAGAGCACGCTATAAAATTAAGAATCTTTAATCCATATGTTTAAATGACCCCATACGTATAGTTGTTTTGATTCATTTTCATCTCCAAATATGGCTATATAAAATAAAAGAAATGAATTTGCAAATCCACATGTGCATTATTCTCAGATAAAGATTAGAAATACTAATTGGATTAGTAATTTTAATTCGAATAAGAGACATTGAGAATTTGAAAATTAATTTAACGCTAATTATTAATCATTAATTAGCCCGTACGTGTCTAAGATTTTTATGATAAAGAATTGAGAATCAATGCTTGAAATAATTAAAAAAGCATTTGAGTAAAAAAGTAAAAAGTAAAAAAAAAAAAACACGAAATCCTCCAATAGTACCTGGAAATAACAGAAAAAAAAACGCAGACTAAGTACTTTGTCTGAGTATATGGACAAAAAACAACACTAACACACACAGACACAGACAGCAGAAACAAGACACAGCCTTAGCCCTCACTGTTCTCTCTCTCTCTCCCCCTCCCTCTCTCGACGGTGATCATCATCATCATCATCAATGGCTACTTCCCTATTCTTCATGGCGACTGACCAAAACCCAGCTGCAAACCCACAGGCACTACTTCCCAGAAACACCCATTTGGTGGGAACCGGCGAGATCCGATCGGAGCCACCTAGGAGCCGTGGTCGGAAACCAGGCTCGAAAGCGGCGCAGAACCAGAAGAAGATCAGGCAGAGAGGGATGGGCGTGGCTCAGCTCGAGCGTCTCAGGGAGCAAGAAGAGAAGAAAATGGCAGACGCATCGTCGACCATACCAAACCCTAATACCCGTTTTCCTATACCCGACCCTGTTGTCATCGGATCTTTTCCTGTCCTGCAAGGCCTTCCGAGTTACGGTGGACCCACGATTTGTCCCGTCGTCGGGCCGTCGGGTTCGGGTTCTGGTCCGGTGGTGCCGAAGATCAACAGGAGCTTTACTAGGTTTGCCGGGTTCTGTTGTGGAACCGAGTCGGGTCAGATTCCGGTCGACCCTCCTCCGGTTTATTCGCCGGAGACTTGGGGTTTCATCGAGACCTCGAAGGAGCTCTCTTCAATGCCAAATCCACATGTCTATAACTGCTCCGACCGCTGTGAAGTTTGCTTCAAGGTCTCGTTCCCTTTGTTCTTTCTTGTTTTACAGTGTTTGGCAAGTGAGAAAATGAGGGAAACTGCCAAGAAAAAGCGTCGATAAAAAAGATTTGTTATTTAAGTTTATTTTACAAATATTTTTCTTGTTTGGAGATCGAGGGTTTTTTTTAACCTTGTTCCTATGTTTGTATATGCTGACGCAGAAGAAACGTTACGACGGAGATGGAATACGATCCAACGGCGGAGGAATTTGCAGATACGGGATGATTTCTCCGGTGAACGGCCACGATACGCCGGTCTTTGTCCAAGAGAGGAATATTCCGATCTCTGGCTATGATCATAGAAACGGATATCTTGCAAGAACAGTAACAGCCCCGCCTGGTCCGCTAAATTGCTCGAATCCATGTTCTAATTATGAGGTCAGAAATCATATAGTCAGTCCATTTAATGCATATATACGCTGATGTTGTGTATGTTTGTACGTAGTTATGTTTGCTGATCTATCGATCTCATTGGAGGAATGATGGTTTAGGGATCAATGGAGATGTTGGGGAGCTACATGAGAGGAAACCCTAGAAATGGAGGGCCTGCGCCGATCATCAAGGAGTACGAGTTTTTCCCGGGAAAACACGAAACATTCTCAGGTAAACACGAAACTTTTCCGGGAAAATATGGGCAACGCGCATATCCCAAGGAAATGGAAGCTCCAGTGGTTTCGGTAGGTGATTGCAGCACAAATACATCCGCCATTGATTTGTCCTTGAAGCTTTAAATGTCACGACGACTTCAAACCTCTTTCTTAATCCTCGTGTTTTTACATTAGACTAATTAAGGTAATGCAGGGAAAAAAAACAATCTTTTTTTTTTTGTGAATGCGTTTTTAAGGCTGAAACGAGATAAAAAAAATTCAGCTTTTCAATTACCCTTTTCGTTGTTAATCTCATATCCCCAGCCAGAACACTGAAACATATATTCTGTTCCATTCCTTTAAGCTAGCTGATTCATCAATCTCTCTCTCTCTCTCTCTCTCTCTCTCTCTCTCTCTCTTTGTGGGTTTGTGTCAGATCTTCAAGTTAGGTTCTTGTCGAGTGTTCTTGAGTTAATGATCCTGTCATGATTCATGTTATGATCAAAAAGCCTTTGTCTAAGAAACCGTGCCTGGAATTTGGATTTTGATTTCTTAGAATTACACAATATATATAAAGAATCATATTCCAAATTTTAGATAAAGTAAACTCGCGCTTTATTATATTACATTTTGTTCAAACATATATATATACACGCATATATATATATATGGGTAGACGTATTTGACCTACTAATCAATTAAAAAGATCTAACTATTTGATTTGTGAACTGAATTCAATCCATTTGGGTTTTTATTTTCAATCCCTTCTCTCTCTCTCTCTCCGAAAAAAGTTTAGATAAACTTGGATGATATCGTATACACACTTAAATGTACCTACTAATTAACGTGTACACAAAAAATGTACCTACTATACGTGTATGCATATACACACACATATATACGTATAATGTTACGTATACATACATTTGTTTCGTGTATACAAAAAATGCACATGTATGTACACGTATATGTATATATATCTGCATATGTGAATATGCATGTGTACGTATAGTGTATTTGTAAACACGTGTGTGTTATATAAGTGATATTTTAGTGTACTTGTAGTTTTGTAAATAAAAGGCATTTGAAGAAGGGATTTGTAAAGTAAATATAGGAAAGTTTAAGTTTAGTAATCTTGGTATATTGATATGTCATACTGTTGTAACCAACGCAAATAGGATGATGGAGATTCAAATAAATGATTTCCGAGTTTAAGATGATCTATACATTTATTTATGCCTTTAGTGAAGGAAGAAAATAACATGGTTAACATATGTAACTCGAGTTTGATTTACAAATGGCATAAATATACTTTAAAATAAGCATAATTTTAACACTTATTGTGCTTCTTCTCCTTTTTTTTTTTTGGGCTAATCAACTGTATGTTTAATGTGTCGATTATTATAATAATGAAAAAATTCCTAAAAATTTCTAAACTTGTAATTTGGAGTAATATTAATTCCTAAACTTGCAAAATTGAACATGTTAAATCCTGAATTTGTTAAACGGTTCCATAATCGTCCATAGCACTATTTGGTCACCACGTCACGCGCCACGTCGGATCGGTCAACTCGTTTTTTTATCAAATAACGTTATAGACGATTATGGAACCGTTTAACAAGTTTATGATTTAACGTGTTTAATTTTGCAAGTTTGGGAATTAATAGGCACCTCTATAAGCTTATGAATTAATATTACTCCAAACTACAAGTTTAGAAATTTTTAGAGTTTTTTCTATAAAAAAAATAAAAAGATAAAATAACGAATTACAAGAAAATGAGTAGCCTAAGTAAGTAGTATTGTTACCGTGAACTGTCAAACCAACTATGACATAGTCTGAATCATGTAAAAATACACATATATATATATATATATATATATAACGACTTTAGTTATATAATTTTAGGCCCAGATTTTAAAATTTTTTACAATAATTTCGAAATAGAGGAAACTCGAACGTTTTTTATAACTTAAAAAACATGCAATATCACACCAATACATTTTGTTATAATAACAACTATATTTTATTATAGAGAAAATAATCTAACAATGGTAGTTTTTCTATCAAATATTCAAAATCTAAATTGATTATGAATTGTTTTAGAAAAAATATATATTAAAAATGATATTTGAAAAAATACATTTAATTTAGAAATATCTTTTTTAATATAATTTTTTCTAAAACCATTCATAATCAAATTAGAAATTAAAAGATACTCATATTTTATTCATAAAAACTCTAAAACATTCTGAACTTTTTGGAGTAATATTAATTCTTAAACTTGAAGAGGTGCCTATTAAATTTTTCTGAGTTGGCTCGCCACGTCACGTGTCCATCGGATCGGTCAACTCGTTTTTTGACCAAATAACCTATAGATGATTATGGAACCGTTTAACAAGTTAAGGATTTAATGTATTCAATTTTGCAAGTTTGGGAATTAATGAATAGCTCTACAAATTTAGGAATTAATATTATTCCAAATTACAAGTTTAAGAATTTTTAGAGTTTTTTCCATAGAATGAGGAAAAAAATTAGAAATTGAATAAAATAGAAATCGTGAACGGCAGGATTCGAACCTGCGCGGGCAGAGCCCACATGATTTCTAGTCATGCCCGATAACCACTCCGGCACGTCCACCAGTTGCAATTAATCTCATTTTTATTTTTATATCTTACTGAAGGCCCCTTGCCGGCATTAGAAAAAGGAGCAGGAGAGCATATTCTCAGAACATATGCATGGGGAAATATTACTCAAATAACCCACTTGGGGTCGCAGCAATTTCAGTGTACCCCACCGAAAAAAAAAAAAAAATTTGCGACCTTATTACGACTAATATATAACTAATATACAACTTATTACGACTAATAAACTACTCTTATTTTAGTTGTATATTAGTTATATAGTAGTCGTAATAAGGTCGCAAATTTTTTTTTTTTTTCGGTGGTGTACCCTGAAATTGCTGCGACCCAAGTGGGTTATTAGGGTTAAAACCCCATTCTCTGATCGACAAAATATGTTTATCCAAAACAATATTTTATTAATTATTTTTTTAAAAAAAAAAAACAAAACAAGACACGCTTCTTCCTCTTCTTCGTCTTCCTCTCGATCGAAAATCAAATCAAAAGACCATCAAGATTCCAACATTTCTTCCGATTCAACACTCACACGAACATTTGATCCCGAAGAAGACGCCATGAATCCAGACTCCGATCATCCTCAACTTCCCACGATCAAGATCCACCACCCTCCTTCCCCTCGCCACTCCCTCCACCACTCCTCCTCCACCCCCTCCTCCGCCGCCACTCCCACTCCCACCGCTGGTGCCCGACGCAAGATCGGCGTCGCCGTCGACCTCTCTGAAGAAAGCGCCTTCGCCGTCCGTTGGGCCGTCCATGACTACATCCGCCCGGGCGACGCCGTTGTCCTCCTCCACGTCTCCCCTACCTCCGTTCTCTTCGGCGCCGATTGGGGACCTATATCCCTCCAGAACCAACCTCCGGCTTCCGCCTCGACGGCGACTCAGCCGAGTCAGGAGGATTTCGACGCGTTCACCGCCTCCAAGGTGGCGGAGCTCG